TGGGGTTTGACCTATTGTTTATCAAACAATCAGGTTTCAATTATCTGATGATAACGATGTGCAAAAATAAGTTGCTTTTATCTTACTAACTATTATTCTCTTACATGGGAGTTGGAGGGGCAGATATAGTAACACATATTTGTTTGTGAAAGTGTGTGTGTCTTTGTGCTAAACAGGTTACATGTTGTTGATGTTGAATGGTGCATTGATGCTCGACGTATTGTCAATTAACTATTATAATTTCCACCCCTTCGTCAATACCATATATCCTAGTGAAATTGAGATGAAAGATATCACAGTGTCTGACACATCTGTTTCATACTTGGATATTCTACTTGAAAAAGACGTTAATGAGCAGCACAGTTCATGTTACAAAAAGGAGGCGGAGTTTAATTTGTACGGGAAAACTTTACTATGACATCATTCACAATATACGTCATACACCATTTCTTTAAAATACCACAAAATGAGTTTATCTGCTAATTTAACAAGTAAGAAATCATAAAACTACATAAAAACTTACTACAGTGTGTTGCTTTGTCGTAAGTTAAATCCCATATAGCAAATTATAAACAGTCACTGATCGCAATACACTTTTCAATATGACGTCAATTTTTACAACGTGACGTAGTTTGTATGCAGTGAGGGACAGATCAAGTAATATTTTCTCAACAAAATATATATTCTCCTATTAAATAAAATAATATTTACAGACATTTCATGGGCCAATAACTTGAATTTAATGTCTTCTTCTCTATTTTATTAATACATTTTCTGTACATTACGTATTTAATATTGACACTGCCGTATATTTGTATGCAAGTACATCGGAGGGTAATGTGGGGGGTCTTTATAAATCGATCTAGTGCAGAGGGCATAAACTCTATGAATCAAAGTAATCTTTTACATTTCAACTATAGAACTACAAAGGTTTCTGAAAAGTGCTGCGATACTGATGAATTCTTAAAAAAATTTAATAATATCAATATTTAATGCCGCTGACCAGCAAAAAAAGAAAAAAATAGCATTCGGACATACAAGTATAATTTTAACAATGAAATTGCAGAATTTAGACAGGATCGCAGCACTTGTTAGAAACTACAATGCGTGTTGAAAATATTAATATATTAAACTTAGAAATTGAACTTGGTTATAAATGCCCTTGCACTAGTGATATTTATATGTAACATCAATATTTAAAGTCAATGTGCTAAAATCGCGTGACTGCCGCATCACGTGACTAATCTAAATATAAAATGTAATCGACCTTGATATGTAGGTATTAATCATAATTACAATTATCCGATATAAGTAATGTACTAAAAATAATCGCCACCCCGATAACGAATACATTTTTAAATACAAAATTTGGTCGATATTTCCATTTCCATTTCCACCTTAACTGTACTGCGTGGCAATCTAACAACCGAGCTATATGATAAACGTAATGACTTTATCTTTTTTATCGTCAACTTCCCTTACTTATGCAGCAATATACTTAATCAACTGCATACGGAGTATATATATGTAAATTGATTCGATATGCAATAGCACGCCGTATGTATGAACAATTTCTGTAATGACGTATATTATTGACAAGCAAGTTGATGAAAAAAGAATATCAACAGTCTCTTTTAAGGTCATCATTTCGTAAGTTGTATTGTCGATACAATGACCTTGTCAGCTAATACAATTTATCATTGAGTCAATTGCTGACTGACGTTTTCATACTAATCGTTAGTCCATTTTTATAGACTGCATTCAAGACGAATTTTCCGTTATTTCCTGAGCATGACAAGGAGCACATGGCGGTTGTAAAGGGTCAGCAGGGCATGCTCACTCCTCCATGGCACCTGATCCCACCTCTGATGTTTCGGAGGTCCGTGTTTGCTCTGCTCCTATTTTGTATTGTTTTATGGACTTCGAGAATGAATACTGTTCGCAATCTCCAAATCCTTATTTGTTATTTTTTCTTATATTTCACTACATCTCATGTTTGTTGCTCAAAGTAAACTCCAATTAAAATTCCTGAATAATAACAAATCTTATTACATTTTTACCCCTGAAATACTGTAATTTATTCATTGAATAAAAATGATATCCTGTCACAGTGTGAAAGGATATCAATGTGATGTTCTGTCACAGTGTGACGAATATCAGAAGTGCGGGAAAACTCTCGATTTCCCTTCCAATAACGAATATTACTATAAAAAAATCTCCCATGACCTAATATAAGATAGATGGAAATAAATAAACCATTCTGACAGCGAATAAAATTGTCAAAATTACCAAAATTATGTTGCTAAATAAATGTTTACAGTATTTTCACTTCACATAGCTGTGACGTCTCAACCGCTCAACTATGACGTAACGAGCCTGTGACTGTATTACATAGAGAATAATACATACCCTTTTCCATATCACATCCTGTATCAGCCCGAGACACCAATATCAGCCAGAGGGCCGAAGGCCCGAGGGCTGATATTGGTCGAGGGCTGATACAGGATGTGATGTGGAAAAGGGTATGTTTTATTATATTTATTACATACTTAGTAATAAAATACAGAACACATTCAGTTGAGAAGAAAATAAGTAAATAATCATGCATGGACTTCTTACATACATGTACATAGTCTAATGTCTCTTAAGATTTGGGTTTGTTTCTACTTCTATTTCAATGCACTTGATCCGTAATTTGAAAATATTCTATAGTATTACATGTATTTGTAAATTAAGATTAACTTTATTTTCAAAAAGTTAAAATTAAGAGAATATGAACCCACCAAAAATTGTGTATGATCACAAGTATTGTTATTGTGGTTTAATTTACTAAGGGTGTAATATTGACGTCACAATAGCCGTATCAGCCCTGCAGGGCTGATATGGATTTGCAGGGCTGATACGGATATCAGCCCCGCAAATCCATATCCGCCCTGCAGGGCTGATACGGCTATTGTGACGTCAGCCATATCGCATATGCAAAAAACCTGTATTTATTACTAAGTGTGTAATAAAAAAAGACAGAGGCAAAGGAAAAATCAAAGGATTTTATTTAAAAATGTAATAAACAGAAAATTCAATGCTTTGTAGCTGAATATGGAATTTATTTCACTCGTGACACAGGTTTTTTTTTAATATTTTCACTCGTGCTTCGCACTCGTGAAAATATAAAAAATCCTGTCCCACTCGTGAAATAAATTTCATATTCAACTACAAAACATTGAATATCCTCTATTTATATTACATGTAAGTAACGAGTCGGTATATGAAATATATTGAGATAACAAACAGCATTCGAGCTAAAAAGCAAATTTAATTAAGTGTGATTATATTTTTATTGTAATTCTTAATTGATTTCAAATTGTAAAATATGCCTAGCTATATCACTTTGATTTCTTCTAGGCTGACAAAGGCATTTCCAGTTAAGGTTTCGTCAAAGGTCAACATGTCCAAAAATTATTTTTTACCATAGCATCAAAACTATGGGAGGTATAAAGTTAAAACTTTAACAGTCTATAATTTTTTTTATTTGATTAACAGATAGAAAGTATCACTTGATATAAAAAATACTTGGAAAAATTATTAATTGCGAAAAATTCTTCTTAAAAATGCATATATATTCAAAAAATACACCTAATTAATTTTGTGCTTTTAGTGAAAACCATCATTGCAGAAACAAAATATGTTATCAATGAAAGGCAAGTTGGACTTGGATAGCAACTGAGTAAGCGTTGAATCTGTTGAGACTTCTCACCTGATTTGATTGAAGTGCATGTGGGTCGCTTTGTCTCTGTTACATGTGTACTCAAAACAAAAAGACATTCCATTTGTTTAGTTGACATTTGAAGGTCATGATTGTTTTCATTTACTCGGTCATTTACAATATGGACTATTTTTTAGACTAATTGTGACAGAATCTCATTGATCACAGACATCAGCTTGGGTATGACAGAGGGGAGGATCACGGGATATTGTGTTCGATGACATGAGTATTTTTACCAACTTCCATGGTTCTATATCTAAACTTCTATAGTGTTTCCTGCAACTTACTCATTCCACCAAACCCCCGGAAAGGGAGATTACACAAAGTGCATCTTACCAAGTCAAGAGTTTCTGATCCGCTCCGCTCCTCATATACCATGACCGAACCACCTAAGTTTGACGGGGTTTACTATCGCGCAATCTAGTGAGATCACACATTTTGAACTCTGTACTGACCTCTTTTATTTGCCAATTAGAGTGAATGAATTTAACAGAGAATTCGAGATAATATTGAAAGTCGATAATAAATTCAAGATCACTCAACTGAAAAGCTGAGACAAACATTTGACTGAACCATTTAATGATTAATTCTTAGGACTACAACTGGAATGTTTTTTTTTTGTTAACAATCTAGTTTTACGTTAAACAAAACTTGCATGATGCCAATCAGAGAGCGCATAATTTTTAACCTCGTCAAACTAGGAAGATGCACAAATTGAGAAATAACAAACAATGAAATAAGATACAAGAAAAACAGACCTTCCAATATCAACAAAAGTTTCAATCCTTTTAAAAATGATTTAGATGACTATTTTTATGCAAGCGATTTTTTATAGAATCATTGATCAACAAAGTCAAAAGCAATCACTCAGTCAGGAAGGATAACTCTTGAAACTATAATTTTAAAAATAAACATCTATTTTTTTCTTCAGTGCTTTATACGCCACTCATATACATGCAGGTTGACATTTGACCTATCAGAAATATTTCAATAGAGAAATATACATACATGTACCACAGACATTACCAAAAAAATTAACAAGACTTTTTTAGTGTTCATCGTAGAGAAAGCAATTGGAAATGGAAATATTAGTACATATATGATTCATATACCGACTTGATCCTAAATAATTACATCTCTTTGCTCTCTCGAAGCAAATTGTTTCTTGTTCATGTAACATTACTATTCCTTTTCTTCGAAAATTTTGACGCTTTGTGGCTTTCATACATTATAAGTCAAAAATTAAAACGAAAGTTAGAAAAAAATGAAAGGTTTATTTCTGAAAATTGATGACATTAGCAGGTAAGGTTGTTAAAATATCATTGATTTGATTAATTGAATTCCTCAGGCAACCTTTACATAACGACGTCAGAAATAATATCTCAAAATCGCTTTATTTGGACATGAAATACTCCGAGGCTTTATGAGAGACAGTGATCATAGCTAACAATTTTGACTTCAATACAGGAATTATGTAAATCCAGATGAGGTCTCTCAAAGTATGGTTTAATCACTCGAGCAGTGGAATGTAGCTATTAGTTTAACGGTTTAACAGTTTAAATTTATGTTTTTGCGCAAATTGGTAAAGTTTACTCCTTGTAAGGAACAACAGAAAAGTAAATGGAATTTCAAAGTTGAGTAATCATTTTTAGTTAAAGAGCTCATACATATGAGCCAGTACCCCTTATGCATGCATGCTACATGTAGGCCTTCCAAATCGTATTAAATTTTGAAATGCCTCAGGTGATGGAATGCATTTTCGTATGTTCGATATTTTTTTTTTATGGAAGTGCTTGAATGAAATATGCATTTAAATTGTGCTTAAGATATTTATAGTTTCTTGAATTAACTTGGCCTTTTACAGTCACTGCAACGTTATTGTTGACAACTTACATCACGTTACACGAACGATTCCGCATAATTAACGCCCGTATAAACCAGTTCTGTTACAGGAATGATCCTTCAAAGTGTTCATATTTTGCTATGAGAAACCAAAAATATATCTGTCGAATCAAAAATTATAATAGAAAGTGCACAATGGCAACATGTAATAAAGACTCAATGAAAGTCTCATCATATTTCATTCAGTGGTATGAGAGGAGTTGCGGAAAAGAGATTGATACTCAAAACGTTACAGACGGACCGACGGACATCACGATTACTACATGTACATGTACATACCCTCCAACTTTTCAAGCGGGAGGCATAACAATATACAGGTCACTGATTGCAATGTAATTGTCGAAATTAAAAATATATATTATAATTTATTTGTCATGAAATAAAATGTAATTTGCAGATATATAAGAGGAACATAGGATTTAATGTCTTCATAATTTACAAAAATGTAATTTACACAAAAAAGGTGTTGGAAAAATTCAAAGAAACACTAATTTACGGAATTTTAATGGTGTACTGGTGTACTTTGAAGAAAGTGCATTACTGTATTATTACTGATTTAAATGCTATTTACTGTTACTAGTATGATAAGAAATCAAGTCAATTTACTTAAGTTCAATAAAAGATTATTTTTCGACAGTGTCTTGGAATTTACGAAACAACTATGGCAATTGTTTTGCAACTTTAATTTGCGATAATATTGTCCTAAAATTATAGTAAAGGATATAAAACAGGTCTCTATGGAGGTTGAATATGATGGAAATAATGACGATGAAAGGGAAATAAATGTTTAATTTTTATGGATCTGTCAAGTGATAATCTAGAACACATCAGAACGTATTTATAGAAAGCTGACTAAATTAAAGTAGTTATGATAAAATAATTATCAAGTTTTACAGATAATAGGAAGCTGAAATCTATATTATTATTTAAAAAGAAATATTAATACAAGGTTTCTTTACTATTCAACCCTTTCTCTACCGGCACATTTTAAGCGTTTTGCAGACCTTTTGACATTTTCTTATAAATTAATTTATAACTTTTTTATTCAAAAAGTAACCTACGCATAGTGCATACCATTTTGTAGAGAATTTTCTGGAAATGAAATTTCATAACTAACCAGGTACTTCATGACTAATCTCGCCAGTTGAAATGGAGGTCAAATGTCAAATAAGTTCAAAATTTTATTGCATTTTCTGACACATTTTAATTTTCACGTTAAATATTTACAGTGATCCACATAGAAATAAGGAATTCAGAATAAACTCGCAAAAGGGTATTATCCTTTACTAAATTAATCACATGAACTATTTTTTTTTAATTCTGCAAATAATGACTTGAAATAATTTGCTATGCAATGGAGTATTTTTCAATTTCAGGTAGTATTTCTTGTTTTTTGTTCATCCCACACACATTTATGCATTCCATTACTTTTTAAAGTCATATGTGGGGTAATAATACTGAAAACAATATACATCACATAATTGTCTTAAAGTTTGACCTGAATAAATTCATTATCTTGGAGGTCAAAGGTCAAATACGTGCATAATATTAGAATTCTTTTCCAACACGTTTCATCTTTTTTGCGAAAATTTTTTAACAATGGGTGCAAAAGAAAAAATTCTGAATGTACTCTCTAGAGGGCATCATACTAAATTGCAATATCCATTTATTATTTTTTTTTCAAATTTGTGTAAAATGACCTTTAAATGCTTGCTAAGCAACATCAATATTCATTTTTTTCAACTTTATAGGTATCTTATTCGAGACAGTTTTCCATGGTATTGTATGTAAGATATAAGGTCAAAAATAATGTAAAAAACATCCAACAAATAATTCTTTTAATCATTGACTTTGACATTTCTGTTCTTTGGGGTCAAGGTCATATCAGTACAAAAATCTGCCTTAAATTGAAAGTACATATCAAATTTTGAAATGCTGAAATTACTATATACATATTGTCCAATATCTGACACATAAAATTGTAAACAACAAAATCAATGAGATGTCACAAGTGTTTATAGTTTTGGGTTTTTTTTTCACATCTTGGTTGTCATCCAAAAATATATCTCTGCCTTAAACAAGATTTGTAAGATGTGTTCTCAAGTATTTTAATCTTAGTGACAAACATTATTAGAATCACATTAGGAAAAAATGTATTGCAACCTTATTTTTTTAATTACTGTATAGCAGGTTAAAATCGCGGTCGGAAAAGATCGCGATTTGTTCAATTTTCAGCAGATCGCGGTCGTTTGAATTCGCGGAAAGGTAAAAATAATACATTTTTTAAACAGTACTTACAAGCATGTTTCTTTACGTATATATTGTGTGAACTGTTATTTCCAGTCTCTGTCTTACGAAAGTCTGTTCATGTATATCGCGCATATCAGTCAGGAAAAGCAAGTCTATGTATTGTGTCAATTTTAGCCCGATTGAATACTAGTAATAACGAAAGACCGGACTGATCCCAATTTGAAGTCAAAATAATGTTACACATTTAGAATTTTTTTTATTTTTGAGTCCAAATAAAAAAAATCATATACAGTAGTCAAAATGTTGAACTTTTAATCATATAATTGAAATAAATTAATTGCCGATACCCTGTTTACTACGTATGTGTACATGCCTTGATTAAAGGTAATGACTGAGTGATTCGCACGGGTGAAATTATACATAATTATACTGCACGTCTACTAGATGGCAAAATTACCGTAATCGTTAGCTATAGAAATTAATTTAACAATCTATAAGCTTTAAAAACACCAACAATTACGTGTTTGTAATTGATCCATACAGTGATACACTCGCATAATTATAAAGACTGTCTACATCTAATCACAGATGATAATAAAATTTCAGTTTATCTTTATAAATCTTTTCAAGAATTTATTCACTGTATGTTGAATTCGCGGAATTTCTTTTTCCGCGAATATAGCGAATATTAACTCCGCGAGTTATTTTCCTGCTGTACAGTATACGATAGAGTTCTCATTTTGTCATTAAAAAAAAGTTTTTTTTGTCCCTTTAAATACATTGTATGAGAAAACATTTACAATTTTTCTTATCTTACAAGAATTATTTTACATTTTCAAGTCTTTACTGGGTCAATTGTTAAAACAACTTTTGTCATTTTATAAGCATATGAAAAAACATCAGAAGATGGACAAGCACATAACTTTGAATCTTCTTTAAAAACGGGGCTTCTGGTATAATCTTTCACTCATTCAATTTTTTATGTGGCATACAAGGATTTCTATTTTCTACTATTTTCACAAACCCTCCACTTATCATGCTGTCAAGTCAGAATTCCTTATACCAAATGAAATGATCTTGAATCACCATTTGAATCATTGATAGAAATAAAGCGCATTCCTAAAAAGTAAAATTAATTTACATGCAGATAGGCTTATTTGTTAGTAAGTTTGCAGGTCTATATCTGTAACTTTAGATTCCAGATTACATTATCTGCACATCATCTTAATGTTGAATGATCTCTCTGCCATGAAAGACCGAGGGAAATCTTCCTTTGATTTCACTAGGGCATGATCAGTCTCTAAGTGTTTTCCGACCTGAAACACATTTCAAAAAAAGTTTTGCAAAAGTTTTTCTAATCATATATGTAATTTTAATCAGATAATTCAGATTATAAAGAATTCTACAAAATTTTAATGACACATTGATATAACTTCTCTTTTTTATATAATATTGTTTAAAAGTATTTATAAAGTATATTTTTATATATGTGCTGGATCTTTTTCATGCCAGCACCTACTGAGGCACGGGACTTTAACTCTTCACATTTGTACAACTTATTGAACTGTTATGCAACAAACACTTAATGTTAACGTCAAAGAAATAGAAATTTACTATTTCCCCGCAAGCACCTTTTAGCGTGGTACCACGTTTCTCTAAAGTTTAGCGTAAATAATATTAGGATCTCCGAATCTTTTTAATAATAGCATAAAGGTATATAATCTATATATCATACTTAAGGAAATTTACTCTATTTTCAGAACCTGTGAAAAATTCTAGCCTTATTAATAGGTAATGAATAGATTTAACGTTTTGAAGACATTCATGACTTTTTGAAAATGACGCAGTTTTCCAAAACAAGAATGATTTTTCTGACGATAGGCATAATTTTTCCTGATTAAGGTCAGACGAGACGTTTCTCAAAATCTGTTTTGTATATTTTCGTAATGTATGAAAATATTCAAAATTTTAATAACATTCAGATTTCTACACCAGTTTCTAAACGTTTTTAAGAAATCCATACCCTCAAACATTTGAAATTGGAGAATTATTTTTTTCCCCAAAGGATTATATAAGAAAAACTACCCCTGGTATCTTGCAGAAATGCCTGGTAAGGTACCTCAATTTTTTGTGAGTAAACATGTTTAAGTAGCAACACTTCAATGACAAACTCTTAGAAAAAGTTATCTATTATTAAGAAACGTCTCGTCTGTCCTTAAATCATATAAATAAAATTATATCTATTTTTTTTTCTCTGTTTTTTTATAATATGTAAAAATTAATGCCTTTACTTTTAGCTATTTTGTAAAAACAAGAAATTTTAAATTATTAGTTTTAAATGCCGATAAAAATGATTGGGTACGGACAATTTTGATGGGTCGTCACAGTACATCAAGCAAATAAATATTCATTGTTGGCCTGAATTGATTTTTTTAAAATTAACAAACATCCAAACTGTGGTTTCGGTGGATTTGAATAATTTAGACTTATTTATGTGTTGTTTTTAAAGTGGGTATAACCTATAATTTCTGAGTACCAATCAAAGAAAAATGAAACTTGACATGATTCAGAACCAAATATTGTGTAATAAAAACACATAAATTTTTAGCATGTGTAGTGTGCTCGTAGCCCAGTAACTTCAGAGCTTTCATTTGTGAAGACCCACATGCTAATTCCACCAATGGTCACCATGCACAGAAAAGACCATGATGTGCAGGATATACGTGCTTAGTTATTGGTATGTCAATTTTATTGCAGTCAAAACTCCTCATTTTCATGATGGCTATTTGTCAACACTCCCAGGTATACGAGTCGTTCGACAGGCGCAGTGGTATGAGCCTCTACTCTAAACACGCGAAGTAAAGAGTTAATTGATCCTTACCTCGATAACGCAAGTTCGAATCTTACTATGAGAAGTGGAGACCTGTCCGTCTGATGAGTTACTATAAAAATATATCATCTTATATTATACTTATATAAACCAATTAACCCTCTTCCCCGCAGTCACGCATTTTAACGCATATACCATTTTCTATTTCTAACGCAAAATAACGCATATACCGTTTCCCCGCAATCACGCTTTTTCACGCACTTTAAAAAGTTCATTTAATCTTTAATTTAATGCGAATTTCCTTCTATTTCATACTTGCAGATTTAAAGGTTATTTCTGTATAACGTCATATTATCGCGATGTCGTGTTTTAACGCGCTATCGGTCATATTGACCGATGCGGTAGGAAAGGGGTTAAACACATGATTATTCATATAAAAGTTTTCCCTTCCAACCGTTATTATGTTTGCACATCCCCAAAATCATTTTTTTCATTTTTGATTTAAATCAATATGTGCAGAAACATCAGGATTAAATTAAACTACAAACCACCAAGATTTCCCCCCTTATTTATCGTTACACCAATTTGTACCTAAATCAACAAAATAATTGAATCCATTAAAATGTTTTCACTGGATTGCTGGAATTATATGATCTAATATGAACTGTTCTTAAGTAAATTACAATTTATAATACAATACAATAGTATCTTTCATTTCCAACTTTATTAAGATGGATCTAATCATTTTCAATTCTTAACTAATTTTTTTCACGACAGGTTTTCATAATGGAGCAAGTGCAAGTTATATCTGCTGTTGTGTATCCAATATCAAGGAAAATTAACTGTTTTAATCATAGATATATATTTGATCTCACATATTGTAAAAATGGAAGATTGTGCGTCTCTGTTGTAAATACTACAGGCCTTGATCCTTCACTCAATTTTTCCATTGAATCTGTTGAATATTTATCTCTTCATGGCTCTTATATTTGTATTACAAAACGTACTTCGGAAATGTGTTTGATTTATTGGGGAGATACAGCATTGAAATCAAAGAACCTTCCTTATGGAAATGCAGATCATTTTTGGCCAACATCACCAGAATTATTACATGGATATACACCAAATGGTTTAGCAGTGTGTAAATCTGGAGCGATTTTGGTTTGTCTCTGGAACCATCAAGTTCACGAACAATCTCTGGGTAATTTAATTAAGCTAAAAAATTTTGGAATAAAATTATTCGAAATAGAAACCGACAAAAATCGTCCACTCTTTACATGTCCGACCTACATAACAGAAAACGGCAATGAAGACATATGCGTTTCTGACGTGAATGCAGTGGTCGTCACAGACGTCGGGGGATTACTGAGATTTAGATACAAAGGTCTGTCAGATGATTCACAGTTTGACCCCTACGGTATCTGTTGTGATTCACAAAACAACATCATCATAGCTGACATGATGAAAAACAGAATTCACATGATTGACGAGAATGGTGAATTTCTTCACTACATTCAGTACAAAGACATGCACAAACCACGTGCTCTCTGCATAGATGAAGAGGACAACTTGTATGTCGGAGAATGGATGTCTTATGAAATAAAAGTCCTTTCACGTCGATGATTTGAGTTCAACAAATTTCAAGAGACTGGTTAAGGTTTTATTGTATATCAATTTCTTTTAGTTAATGTTTTAATATATAGAGGTATTTAGATTTTATGTATATTTAAGGTATTCCGTTTCCAACGGAAGACCTTCTTGTTTTCGTTCAGTTTCTTTTTCTCTATTATTATTCTTCCAACCGATTTTGTGCACACTATTTCTCAGAAACGGTTGGTCCGATTTGTATCAAAATTTCAGGTATGTAAGATATTCAGTTGATCTTGATAGTTTTTTTTTATGATGTCACTTCCGGTCGTGAGATGTGGACGATAATCTGATATTCAAAGGGTCGGCTTGTCCAGGGAACTCCTCCAACACGACTTAAAGCCCGTATCACACTGTCACGATTTATAGGTACGATTCATTACGAATTCAAAAATCGCAGCAAATCGGGATTTATCAAAGAAGTACTCGTACGATATCTTCCTTAATCGTGTTGGATCGCAGGAAATCGCCAAACTTGGCGATTGTTTTGAGCATGTTCTAAACGATCGTGGACACAGCACGATTTTTCGTAGACAATCTCACAGCATCCGCACTGCACTCGTACTCATATTCGTAGTAAATCTTCGAAGTTCGTGCGACATTCGCGAAACTTCGTAGTACTCGCGACACTACGAGAGTTCTACAAGTTAAATCGAGTGTCCTTCGAGTTTGTGCGAGTGTCTCTCGAGATACTGCGAGTATCCTACGAGATACTGCGAGTGTTCTTCGAATTGATAAGAACATATTACGACTTTCCCGGGAATATGATACGAAAAAGAACGATTGATGGCAAGTGCTGTACGAAAACTGTGCGATTGAACTACGAGTTAATACGATGTAGGCAGACGGTGTCTGATGTTAACGCTGTCGAAATCAAAATTAAGGAAAGAAGCTTAGGAAAGTGAAATAAACTGAAAATAAACTGAAAAAACATGTGTTACAGAAACTATAAACACCGTGTACAATAAACACATGAAGAGATTGAACATAATCAAAAGTTCCACACTGTAGTTTTTACCATGATCATATAACATAACTATGATCTTTAATGATTTCATACAAATCTCCCTTTACTCTATATATGCATTCCATAACATGTATATTTGTAAGAAATCGCCGTTAATCGTGGGAATATCGTGTATGTAACGTGGCATATCGTAGTCCTTCGTACGAGTATCGTATGTAACCGCGTTTAATCCTTCATAATCGTAGAACTATCGTAACTAGTTCGTAACGCCGTCGCCCCAGTTCGTACTTAAATCGTACAAACAGCGTACTTTGTCGCACAGACATCGCAGACACACCATTCTAGCAGCAAAATATTCAACACGCTGTAGAAAAATCGCAAGATAAACATGGCAATGAACGGCGATTTTCAACTTTGATGAATTCGTGGGTAATCGTAGCATAAATCGTGACCATGTGACACAGCCTTAAGATATTGAGTTAAGATTAGATGTGAGAGTAAAGGATAATTTGCTCAGTTGCAAATGGGTGTTCAAATCTTTCCAGCGCAAAAGGCACCCGAGCTCGGAAAGGCTAAAAAAAATGTCTCAGAAACATTCAAAGAATTTGACATCTTTTGTTTCATATCTTTTTACCTGTTCATTATTTGATAAACTATATTGAAGAAAAGTTGTGCAGAATTTTAAAAGCTTTTATGTGATATCAAGAAAAAGGAGCTGTCCTAACAAATTAAGGTCTCAAAGGGACCAAAATTCTTTTATTAATATCTCTATTATGATCAATATTTTGCAATACATTACTATAGCAAAAATGTTAATCTTAATAATTTACAACAAAATATTGAAAAATAATTGACCATATGCTACGTAATAAGGGGCCAAAAATGCTAAATCTTTGATTCGTTATATCTCGAAATGGGGGAAACATTTTGATAAGAAGTATTGAATAAAAGATTTCAGAATCGATCGTATTTTAAACAATATACAACCATTCAACTTTTGCAAAAAGTTCCCATTAAGGGCTGGCCCCTATACTTTTCTCTTATGCAAAGCTCGAAAACGGAAATAAATTTCTGAAAATATTTTGAGCAAAAAATCTTTAAAATCGGGAGTCTCATAATTTGATATGAAGAAAAAGGGGCTGACCCCTCAAATAAGGGGCCAATAGAGGTCAAATGACTTTAATCAATAGCTATTTGATTATGATATCTAATTCAAAGGAATTAAATGAAACGAGGGGATTTTTTATATAATCATGTTTAAAAAAAGATCATAGTCAAAATCATATCTCATCTAATCGAAAAATCGGACTGGAGGTCTTATCTAGACTTATTAATTATCAGTTACTGTATGATAGTTTCAACTTGAAAAAAAATGATTTAAGGACATTTTTTAGCAGTGCTTTGTCGTTTATTCTTTTCTTCTTTGTTAACAATCATCAACATATATATCATGTTTTTTTATATTCCTTTAAATTAAAATTTAACTTTACATACATTTACTATATTTCATTTTGAATTGTATTTTAAGGACTTTTATGTATGATGATCCTTTTATAAAAAAATATCAAAGGGGAATATGGAATATAAAAATGTGTTTATTATTCAGGACATGCTTGGGGTAATGCTAATTGTCCATGGGCCCGTTTTACAAAAGGACTTACGACTTAAGACCAAATTTAATTCTTCGTTTAACTTTTTAATTAACATTATATCGAAAATTATTTTAAACTTTTTTAAAAGCAATGTGGTATATTTTTACACAAACAATTCAAAGAGAAATAATAATTTTGCAAAATATAACAACAATTTGAAGTTTTTGGTCTTAGTCGTAAGTTCTTTTGTAAAACGGGCCTATGGTTATGTAACGTACTACTTCATAAAACCAATATAATGCTGGCATTACATAGCAATGAAAAAGAATTAGTCTGTATGTACCTATTTTAAGTAATTAGAATGGACATGGAAATTATTGTTAAGGTTATCTTTTATTTATTTTGCAAATGATAATATTTGAATGAAAACAAGTTAACCAAACTAATTAGAATTTCTGAATTTAATATCAAAATTTCCGAAGACACTTCTTATTCTGTTGAAATAAAGAACATTTACCTTACATATAAGTTTTGAAATTCATTTTAAGTAATATTTGATTTAAAAAAAATATTACATATAAGTTTTGAAATTCATTTTAAGTAATATTTGATTTAAAAAAAATATTTAAAATAGTTTTAAAAAAAAATCTTTTGAAAAATTGGCATCAGAGGTTCACTAATAAATGTACACTGTAAAGTGACAATTAACACCTTTTGAATAGCTAGAGTGTCTTCGAAACACAATATGACTATGGGTTATGTAATAATTAAACAAGGTATTACTTTACAATGTAATTCGACCCAAGCCTGATACAGAATATGAATTTTGCTTCAAATTATGACCGCGTAGTTTGGTTCTAAAATATGTGTCATTGATCGGACAAGAGGGAATGTTGGCAGGGAAGTGAGTGGCGCTGTTGGCCAGAAGTAGTAGAGCCGTTTTCAAGGGACATTTTCCGATAACACATATTGAAAGTCCAAAGTAGTGTTGAATATTCATGGGTTACGTATCTATTTGCCAGTTCCAACGATGTAATTGGATCAAATATAAACTGTTGCCAGTTGGATATGGCCATAACCTCCAAACCATCAAAAATAGAAAAAAAAAGACATGACGGGGAACGAGTCGTACGTGGGTGGTAGTACACCCGGCCTGCGAACTGCTCAAGAAAAATTTGACAACAGTATTTAATAGGAGTTGAACAATGAATTAAAACAACAGTTAAACGGTAAACAATTAATGAAATGCTTTGATGGCATGGACATAAAGAACACTGATAACTGAATAATTGCATAATGATTGTAAAAGTGATTGAAATGTCCTTGGGCATAAACACTCTGCACCGTTTGGGTCTGACAAGTTTCACTTAGTCATTAAATGAACAATTAGTAACTTAGCCTGAGAATTTTTTTTTTATATCTAATTTCTAAGTCAAAATAATTTCCGATTATAAAAATCAGATTAAAACAAAATTTTGATTTAACATTTAGAGTCCAAAATAAATTATAATTTAAACATTCAATTGCACACGTTGATAAAATCGTCAAAATTTTTATTTTCTATTTTTACAAAGCTGAAGACTCATGGGAGCTTTTATCCTTCTTCAGTCTGTCTGTTTGCCCATATGTTTGTATTTTTTTTTCTTCATATTCTACAGAACCACTTGGACACTTTGAGCCAAAGTAAGCAAAAATTATCCTTGGGCAAATCCTTGGGCTTAATCGTTAAAATGAAGGATTCAGTTCCTTTTTGGAGCGAGATAAAAAATGTTTATATAGAACGCTTTTGCAAAAACAACATTAGAAAATTCTTCTAAATATGCTTCGTCAGGTACTGTAATTGTACAAAAAATAAGCAGTTTCCTATTTTTCAGACGAAAAAGTGGATCACATGGATTTTGTAAAAAAAATTATTTTTCATAAATGTTTCTTCTCTACGCAAGGAGTCTTTATTAATTTTTATCGAGATGTATTTTAGAGAAAATGAGTTTTATGCACTTTTTAAAAATAAAATAAATTTCGGTTAAAAATATGGTGATCGATAAAATTAAGTTTTTATGGTTATTCAGCTTAAAAATATACGAAAGGGTAAAATAAAATGTGTTTTGCTAGGTATGATAACGCCTTGCAAAAATTTCTTAAAACTTGTTAAATTATTATTTTCAAAAATCGGTATACATTACATGTTCATTATATGTTCATTTTAATTCCTGGACATTATTTAAAGTTTGATATGTTTGTTAAAATAAATTACATGCTCAATAATACGAGAACATAAGCTGAACCGGCGTATTGAGGACCCTTAAACTATATGGTGATAAATCTTAAATTGGTAGGCCTTGTAGCAACCTCTAATGATAAAACGCCGCTTAATGATACAAATAGGATTAAGCGTTGCCATAAATTATTGCATTAATAGCTGACATCATCAACCGCTAATGCTAAATCGCCGCTTAATGACAGAATTATATCATTAAGCGTCACAAATGCAGTGCAACACCGACGCTTAATGAAACAAGCAAATATCGACATATTCGACGCTTAATGATACACACTGGTGTATCATTAAGCGTTGTAGTTGCAACCCTTAATGATATAAAATTTAGAAATCGCTTTTAATATCTAAGAGAAACACACATCCACTTTTCCTGAACAATGAGATATCACTTGTCAAAATATTTATATATGCCATTGTGCTATATAAATAGTAATTATTGAAGTTTTATTGTGTTTTCTATCTAGTCAAGGTAACGTCTTTAA